CTTTCGTCTTTCTTTCGCTGTCGTGTTCCCTGCGGTATGTTGGCTAAGTTTGGCATGCATGGCGTACGAAAATGTGCTGACCCTTCCGCTTTGATTGTGCATCATTGATTTGGATTGTGCATCGTTGATTTGGAGCACACACCCTCTGCTGAGTAGGAACGTCCGGGTACACGTTGCTGCTACGCAAGGGAAATAAACGAGCGTGTCGTGTTGATATGTAGATGCTGGAAGAGGCCCCTTAATTTTGGTGTGGCATTCGAGGTCCTTTTGGAGTCCTTTTGAGGGGGGGGTGAGGGGGGCGGGGCGGCCACCGCGTTCCTTTGAGAGAGACGCGTGTTCTCAAGACCATTTCTTGTTTATTTCCGACTTTTTTCTCTCTCTCTCTCATGATTCGCATGTTTTTGGGAAAACCGACGCGCAAGTGTTGAATCGAGACGAAGTAATGACTGCTGTGTTGCCACAACGCCAAGTTCATACGATGTATGACTGAAAACCTAGTCTGCTAAGGTCATCCATGCATGATGGGTCCTTTTCGGAGGATTCCTGAGAGAGGAACACGTGAACGCAGCATGCGTCAAACACCTTGTCTGTATGGACTCTTTATCGGTACGTTCATTGAGGAAACTAACCATTTTATCTTGAAATATGACATCTACCTCGATACTACACCACGGTCATTTACTCAAAGATAACCTCCAGACCACGCAAGGCATTGAGCCTGGGACCCAGTCGAGCGAATTGGACGTTGACCGTTGTTTGTGCACGCCACCGCCGTGTGCTCGATTAACACCCAAACTTGCATTACACCTGCATGCACGCACGGAAAAACACAGCACCTGGCACAGCCAAACAGGTATTATGCATAATGGACGAATTGTGGATCCGTGCTCCCATCTAGCTGCCTGGTAATATGACTAGACTACAACAAAAGCCCTTGCGGAGCAGCGCGTCACAGCGCAGAGAGGGTGTGTGTGGGTGTTTTTGTCTTGACATTTTGTTGTGTGGTTGGGAAAAAGAGACAACACTGGGAACAAGTTGGTAAGACAATGTGTAGGCATCTATCTGTAGCTATCGACAGCGAGCTGCTAACATGTCGCACATTAGAGACACACTGCTATATATATCTTGCAGGTTCACCTCCACACCACCAGCATTCTCATGAGGAAGGAGGACCCGATCGCCCTCGGTGGCCGTTGGTTATTTTCCTACTACGTATTTTGATTCGTGGGCCCGGGCCCCTCTCCTACAGGGGGTCGAACTCGCTCGATCCGCGAGTTAGCTCGCTGTGGTGCTCGTACATTGGGTAAGGACAGAGAAACAAAACGGGCACGACCTGCCTCATGCTTGCGAGGCACAGCAGCAGCGCAGCAGCAGCAGCGCAGCAGCAGCGCAGCAGCAGCAGCACAGCAGAGCACGGCGGTTGGTTTTTCGCCGCGATCTACGGAGGAGGCTGTCGGAGATTGGTACCACCCTGCTGTGTGTGGTGTATGTGCGGTACATGGTGTATCGTGCGGGTATGTGCGGTACACGGGTTGTTCTGCGGGTTTTAGATCGTCGGGCGCCAGGAAAATATGACCATTTCTGGGTACAAAATTGACCACTTCCGGGTACATCAGTAACCAATATCGGTACTCCAGAGCGTCCTATTGCCAGAAAAAGTTGTACCCGATGGAGTTTTCTCCCAAAATGGGTACAATGGTTTCTCGGCCAATCAGCTGACAGCCTGGGGGTGCAAACGTCTTGATTTCTAAGTGTACCCGAAAGTGGTGATAAAGTACCCGGGTATACCCGTTTCTGGTTATTGG